TACTATACAATCCGAGGAGAGTACCAGCAAATTTCAATCAAACAATAGCCGTATTTGTATTTGTATATGAAACTGGTTTTTTATACATATTTTGTACAAGCATGAATAAAGAAAATCATCAAAATTATGATCACTGTGATTGACCATGGGTCAATGTGATTGATTCTTTTCATAATATAACAATTTTAGATTTAATATAACCATGTTAAGTGTAAATATTCCATTTATTTTTAAAACAGTTCACTTAATGAATAACCTTTCCATATTTTCATTTTGGGGTTTACACAATATAATTACAAGGACATTCAACAGCATATAACATGTATGTAGGGTTTCGGTTCCAATTTTGAATTTGATTATTAACATAAATTAGCACACCTAATCAATATTGGAATTTAAAACTAAATTCTTGTGTTCATAATTTGTATATATGTTGCTTTCCATACAAATTTTAATGTGTTTTTTAAATAACCAATATTAAAATATTTAATTCATCGATGTAAAGTATGAAAATAAACTAATAACTTTATTGATTCGAGCAATTAATATAATCTGTTTTTATTTCCCAAGGTCACCTATTGTTTTTCATAAAATTTTAGGTGATAATTTACACATGTAAAAAATGTAAATAAAAGTAAATGTAAACAGATAAAAAGCTACATGGTCATTAATTAGTCACTATATATAAACATAAGGAGATGTAGTATGATTGCCAATAAAACAAATACCCACCAAAGTGCAAATGAAGTGGATGTAATGTTCAGTTTTTGTTTCTAAATTGAAAATATGCACTAGGCTTAGGATTAATTAGATAATGTTAGTGTTAATTAGACAATGGTATTGATTTTACAGGGAATGCTATCAAACAGTGCAATGGCACGCTGTTCTTGTTTTATTTCCTAATAACATGTTTATAATTAAAAAAATGAAAAACACATGTATTCACTCAAACAGATAAAAAGCTACAGGGTCTTTAATTAGTCATTGTATATAAACATAAGGAGATGTGGTATGATTGCCAATGAAACAACTATCCAGCAAAGTTCAAATGAAGTGGATGTAATGTTCAGTTTTTGTTTGTAAATTGAAAATATGCAATAGGCTTATGATTAATTAGATAATGTTAGTGTTAATTAGACAATGGTATTGCTTTTACAGGGAATGCTATCAAACAGTGCAATGGCAATCTGTTCTTGTTTTATTTCCTAATGTTTATATTAAAAAAATGAAAAACACATTTATCCACTCAATAAAGGTTTTTTATGCGAGGATAAATATTTCACAAAATTTTGTCAATATCTCAGTATACAATGTCATCCAAGGTAATTATGGTTATTTTAGATAAAAGTTATATAATGTAATCAATTACATTTGACTCATGTATATTCTCATGAAACTCATACACAATGCTAAGAATTAAAACTAGCATACAGAGCTCGAATTTCGGCAGTGAGTCACTAACCGTTCTAGAGTTATGCCTCTCTATAACTTGGAAAATTGAAAATTGTTTCGTTTCCGCACTTTTACCTAAGTCTGCCCCATTTAAAGTTAATTAAACTCATACACAATGCTAAGAACCAAAACTCGCAGAGAGAGAGTTCGAATTTGGACACTAAGTCACTTACCGTTCTAGAGTTATGGCCCTTTTTAACCTTGAAAATTCCTATTTTTTTTCGTTTCCTAAGTGTAACTTAAGTATGCCTTTCGCATATTTTATGAAACTTATACACCTTTCTCAGAACCAAAACAAGCAAGCTTGAGCTGGGGGCATTCGTGTCCTCAGACACATTTTTCTTTTCTTGTTTATCCTATGTTCAATTAAGTAATCATCCTAAAAGCTGCACTGCAAATGTTTCTCATTGTGTGTTTTACGACATATCGTATAGATAGGCAAAGATTTCTGTGCACTTAAATTGGTATAAACCTACCACATCTTGTGACCACGTCAGGCTACCTGAACTATGTGTTGTACGTTAAATTGGTATAAACCTACCACATCTTGTGACCACGTCAGGCTATCTGAACTATGTGTTGTACGTTAAATTAGTATAAACCTACCACATCTTGTGACCAAGTCAGGCTATCTGGACTATCTGTTGTACGTTAAATTGATATAAACTCACCATGTCTTGAACCAAGTCATGCTATCTAGACTATGTGTTGTACGTTATATTGGAATAACCCTACCACATCTTGTGACCAAGTCAGGCTATATGGACCATGTGTTGTACGTTAAATTAGTATAAACCTACCACATCGTGTGACCAAGTCAGGCTATCTTGTCTATGTGTTGTTCTTTCTTGTTTATCTGTGTGTGTTTGATTGATCGATTGTCGGTTACTCAACGTCCAGTAAAAAATATTCATGTTCAGGACGAAAACAAATAAATAATAAGTACAATAGGTAGGCCCTGTAATAGAGGCATTCCAGAATGAATGTCGGGGATATTTTGATGCGTACTTGTACATCTTGCACAGTCAAACGAATGTCCCAACTTTGTTAAAATTCTACCCCTGTTCAGAAGAAGACCAAGGGCGACCACAGTCATCCTTGGGGATTACCTATGTGTGTATCCCAGATTTTTCTAGGTTGTTAGTAGTTGATGGTTTGTTGTATTGTATCGTAGTTGTTAGTAGTTGATGGTTTGTTGTATTGTATCGTAGTTGTCAGTAGTTGATGGTTTGTTGTATTGTATCGTAGTTGTTAGTGGTTGATGGTTTGTTGTATTGTATCGTAGTTTTTAAACTAGTAAACTATATCCCTGTTCTCTCTTTATTTGTTTTATTTTATATTAATCCTGCAATCGACTTTTCTACTATACAAAAACAGGTAGACAGATAACATGAGGCAATACACATAAAGTATACATTTATATTGTATACCTGGTATTCCGCTTCTGTAGTGAGCGACCTGTTATATTCAATTTACTATTCACGTAACAGTTCAATTTTGGGTCCGCATCGTTGTCTGCGTTGCAGTCATGTTGATTTCGTTAAAAAATCAAATCCAACGGTTGGGAAATAATAAAAAAAAAACTAAACACTCAAGCGTTGATATTAAACTGCAGTATAAAATCAATATACACACGTTGTAAGAAAATATGAAATATACCTGTAATCGTTAAGAAACCGGAGAAAAGCTCGGCGAGCCTGACTTTTCTTTCTGTTTCTAAAGCTGGTATAAATAAATAAATTATATATTTTCCTACAACATGGAAATATTGTGTCTGTAATTTTTGCACTTTAAGATAAACTGTGGTTCGGTTTATAAAGATGGTAGAAGCACCGGTGTCTATTTTTTTATTCCTATCTTGTGTATAACTGAATAAATCATTGATGAGTTGATTTTTGTTCTGATTTTAAGTTGAAAATAGTCTTTGTATATTCTTACATGTATATATTGATAGAGAGCATGCTTTTCCTATCATGATTTTTTTTAAAGAGGATTGCTGGGTACAGAGAAGCTATTAACCCAGTGTTACAAGTGGTAAAGAGGAAAACATCCCTTCAAACAATTACAGTCGCAGTCATGAGTTGGCTGATGACGACGGGTATGTTTTTATGGTCGTAATGACAACCGTCCTCTTTTTCTTATATGGTACCTACCGAATTAGATTTTTTAACGAGTGTGTACCTACACGAGGAACACGACAAGGCAAGATTTGGGCCCTTTTTTGAAAATTCGGATTCCTTGTGGCAGTAAAAATTTCCTAATCTGCTAGAACATTCGACCTCTAAATGCAACAAATATGTTGTCAATGATAAACTCCAGCATACTGATTTCTTGTTCTTCGGTGTAGCATGTTTTATTTTCGGGCTCATATTTTACAAAACAAGCAAAATTATGTCCCAACACAATTGATTGTAGCGTATGGTACCTTTTTGAATGGCGGAAAGCATTGTGGATTATTTCTTTAAGACAGGGTTTTAATGTTTCATGTGGTAAGGTGAGGTGTAGGGTGGAAAAATTAAAGGTTTTGATAGAATTTGGTTCAGAGAATGATATTTTACATTTTCCCGAAGTTCTTAAGAATCTAACTTAGACAAATTAGCTAACATCTCAAACATAGACGAAGTTACTAACCCTTCCAAATGAAAATAAACTATTAATATGTGCGTTCGAAGCACTTTTCTTGATTTATTTTTATCAGATTCACTCAAACCCATACATGTGAAGGCCAAGGATCAGATCTTAACACATGAAAAAATATATGACCAAAAGAGATCTAAAATATAGCCAAAGTAATGTACGGTCAACTTTGTCTGAAGCAGTTGGAACCTTATTTTCTTAATATTTTTTTTTTATTTATGACCGGAAAATTAAAAAAATGAATTTTGTTGAAATTCATGTCAATTACGATGCACTGACTACTGATTTGATGATATTCTCGGGGTATCGACCCAGTGATAGTATAGGAAAATAACATTATTAATTTGATGCGTCCGTAACGCATTTCTGGCTTTATGTTTGTCAGGAACGCTGAAACCGAAACATATGGAAGTTCACTTAGACATTTCAAAAATTTTCCTTTTATCAATTTATACGATACAAAAATTAAGACTTAGATATAAGAAGATGTGGTATGAGTGCCAATGAGACAACTCTCTATCCAAGTCAAAATTTATAAAAGTAAACCATTATAGGTCAAAGTACGGTCTTCAACATGGAGCCTTGGCTCACACCGAACAGCAAGTCATAAAGGGCCCCAAAAATTACTAGTGTAAAACCATTCAAACGTTAAAACCAACGGTCTAAACTATATAAAAAACGAAAAATGAGAAACACTTATGAACCACATCAACAAACGACAACTACTGAACATCAGATTCCTTATTAAGGACAGGTGCAAACAATTGCAGCGGTTTTAAACGTTTTAATGGTACCAAACCTTCACCCTTATCTGAAACAATAGTGTAACATCACAACATAGAGAGACACACTATAAAATATCAATTGAAATGGCTTATCTCAATCAAAAGACATATTAACACCAGAAAACATACACAGAAGAAATAAATTTATACTATGATACAAGGTAAATACAAAATAAATAAACTAAATGAAGAATAATTAAAGTAACATGTTATACCGCTGTGAAATGTTAAACAATTTAAGACTATCAAAATACTATAAAATACAAATATAAATTACATTTGATTAAACTGGAATATACTGGACACAACAAATTAATTTGTAGTGTAAAGTCTACTTGATTGATGCCACGTTTAGCATAAATACATCTCAATCATAGCTAAATCAAGACTGAAGTTAAATTTGGATCATGACAAAAGAAACATGGTTTCTCTCTAAAAAAAAACGGATCGCATTTTGTGCTGTAAAATTGATACGGTTAATAGTAACATTTACAGATTAGAGATTAGATACATGTTTTTGATATATAAACATTACATATGAATTTGGATGAGTAATTCTAACGTTTTAATACATTTTATAATAAGTGATTATTAAAATGAGCGTATAAATATTCCTAGAAGTAAACGTCTATAACTTTATTATGATGACTTATAACCGCCATCAATCATATTTCTTTTCAAATGATCTTACGACATAGACTACTAAGTACATGGCAGTTGTCTTCCGTTCGGGATAGTAAGCTATCGCATTAGACAATTGTTTTAATTTGCTATCTACTACTCCTTGTTAAGAATAATATTATTTACTAAGAAGCATTCAAAGATGATTTAAGAATATACATAACATGCATGGGAGACAACTTATATAAAATACAGTCTCATTAAACTACATATAGGTTAACAATATTGTTCACTTCATGTCTTGACGGGTAAATTCTATCCTCCATTGTTTTTACTGCACCTGACAGGGATTTTCTAATACGATGCGTCTTCCCTCTGGAAATATGAAAAGAACAACAGAACTTAAAAAAAAATCAAAAAAGTTTGATTCAATTTCAATAATTACTTTAATAATTATACAAACCGGAGGGTTAACCTTTAAATACATAAAAAGAAGATTAATTATACTTTTTGGTGTTTTACAAACAGGCGTAAGTGTATAAGGACTATTCGGAAAAAGGATGCTCTTTGAACGGTTTTCAGTTTGAAATTATACATACCTTGGTTTACAATGTTATAAAAAAATAAAACTTTTCTTTGATATTCAAATGTTCATTATCGAATATAACAGTCCAACATGACCCAAATTATTTTTAGTAGGCGAACAAATCACTGCTTCTTTGGTTTTAAAATGTTAATTATGATTGTGAAATATCGATTATTCTCCCGACATAGCAGGTATCCTATCTACGGTCTATTGATAGTAAATGTCCGTATATTTTAATACCTGTTGTGTTTATGATTTGCCAAAACATTATCAAAATTAACTTCATTCTAATCGAATTCAGGTATAAAGTTTAATAGTGATGATTGAACAAAATGTGTAATTCTTACCGTCATCAATTCGTGCTTCAACACCAGTTCTACACTTTGGACATGCGTCAAAACGAACGCTACATTCAGCACACACAATTTTATGACCGCATGGACGGAAAGTTGCGTTGGCAACATTCTCGTTACATGAAATGCAGGGCAAAACTAGCAAGGCAGACAAAAGGGCCAAAAATGGATCACCTGCGGCTGTTGCTCCACTCTGACTTTTCTTTTGTTGCCTGAAACAATAAATAGAGGAGCAAATTGTTATAAATATAAAAATAAAGGAGATGTGGTAGGATTGCCAATAAGACAAATATCCACCAAAGTTCAAATGAAGTGCATGTAAGCAATTATAGGCAATCGTATGGCCTTAAACAATGAGAAAAACTCACACCGTTGATAAAAAGACCCCGTTTTTTGTTAAAAAAAAAAACGTCCTAAGATGGTGATATTGTCAGATTCAGAGAAATATTTGTTTAAATCAGAGAATTTCCATGCAAAGTTTTATTTTCCTCTAACAAGTTATGTAAGTCTACGTTTGCTTATATTCAATGAAACAAAATTGAATTTTAATTTTTAATCTGTCATTAAATTTATGATCGAGAAAAGAATGTTTTTTTTATACTTATGCACACATAAACAAAGTTTAATACAAACATTTATGATAAAAGAGATGATTTTTCATTTCCTATCGTTAATTATCCATTTTTAGATGGTGACGTTCCCATGTCACCATCTTATGGTGTTTATAGATCTCAACTTGTACGATTCGCTCGTGTATGTAACTACGTATTAAATTTTAGCGAGAGAAATTTTTGTATTACTGAAAAATTATTACACCAGGGTTTTCGATTGCATTAACTAGTCAAAACATTTACTTAATTTTATCATCAGTATAAGGACATCATTCGTAAATATAACTCAACATGCAGACATCTTATACGTTTGGGTATTTCACACACAATCTTTTATGGTAATATTCTTTACAAAGCACAAAAATGTCAGTATTCACCTCAAAAGCTAACAAAACCTGTAAACAGACTTATTAAGAAGGGATATAGTTACGATACTGTTGTCAGGTCATAAAAGATTGCATATTTTGGCTTTAATATTGATTCACTTATAGGGTCGTTCCATCGGAATTAAACATATTTATTCTAAAACCAGTTGTTGGCATGACACGGGTTATGTTCTTCTCATATATTTTATGATGGTATAATACTTAACCCCTAACAGGAGGGATTGTGCCTGATATTCATATGATGAAGACATAATCTTTCAATCAGTTTAATTGAGGTCTGGAGCTGGCATGTCAGTAACTGCTAGTAGTCTGTTGTTATTTATGTATTATTGTCATTTTGTTTATTTTCTTTTGTTTCCTGTTCTGACATCGGACTCGGACTTCTCTTAAACTGAGTTTTACTGTGCGTACTGTTGTAAGTTTGTTTTTTCTACATTGGCTAGAGGTATAGGGGGAGGGTTGAGATCTCAATAAACATGTTTAACCCCGCCGCATTTTTGCGCCTGTCCCAAGTCAGGAGCCTCTGGCCTTTGTTAGTCTTGTATCATTTTTAATTTTAGTTTCTTGTGTATAATTTGGAGTCTAGTATGACGTCCATTATCACTAAACTAGTATACATATTTGTATGGGGCCAGCTGAAGGACGCCTCCGGGTGCGGGAGTTTCTCGCTGCATTGAAGACCTATTGGTGGCCTTCGGCTGTTGTCTGGTATATGGTCGGGTTGTTGTCTCTTTGCCACATTCCCCATTTCTATTCTCAATTTTAAACTATATCGTTTGGCGTTTCAAATATTCACATCTGATTCATTGTTTCTAATTTTGTTAATTTGGTCATACAGCTCTTCAACTGTTTCGTTTCTCATACATCATTGGCTTTCAAATATTCGACTTTGATCGTTCCTGATGGAGGATAATCCAGAAAAGCGCTTCGGATGCTTATAAAGAGTTGTTTTCATTTTTTGGAGCTGAATCTCCTTACCCTTTTGGAGCTCTCAGATCAGTCCCGGTTGTTGGTGTAGTTCGTTTTGCTCAGTATTTAGTTTTCGTTGTTGTGTTTTGTAGATTGTCATTTTTGTTTTTGTCATGGCGGAGGTAACACGATGTAGTAACTCTAAATAAATTAAATATGATTATCAATGCGAAACGACCCATCACAGTCCAAATAACACAGATTTAAGCAAAGCTCAAGCAATATACGGCCTTTAACAATGCACAAAATTAAACCTGCAGTCACATATAAGAGACCATGATATAACAAAATGTAAAACAACATAAACAAAAACCAACGGCCTGATTTATGACAAAACAATACACGAAAACTAATATGACAGACAGCAACGAACATCAACAACTGAATTACATGCTCTTGACTTATATAGAATAAGGGGTTAAACATAGTATTGGGTGTTAAACCTTCCCCGAACAAGGGACAGTGGGGAAACAGCTCAAAGTATTAACGAACTGTTAAAATCAGATTGAAATGGCTGATAACATTAATAATTTTCTCTTTTCAAGTGACAACATTTAATTATTATCCTTTTTTTAATTTTATATGTGTAACTGGTATTTATTTAGCAACTGAAGAACATTTATGTGTATATGATCGTCTGTTATATAATAATGCACTTACATTCGCTTTATGAAGTTAAGAACTCCGTCCCGTACTCTCGGACTTTTGCATATTTGAAGGGGGGTTTTCCCTGTATTATCTTTGATTGTAGTGTCAGCATCGTTGTCGATTAACAAACAGGCGATTTTCACCCGTTCGCTCTCGTCATTTGGTCGACTCAACATTAATCCTAACAGCTTCACAACAAAAATGTTAAGTTTATTAAAACTTACGATCAAGTAATATTTATACCTTTATGCCAATTATAAATGAATTGATAATGTTCAAGTATGAAAAAGAATGTCCGCTCATTTTTAACCTCTAAATAAACAGATAACATTTTTGCGAATGTGGTTTTATCTTCTCTCTTTACTTCTACAAATTGTGATATTTAATGCTAACAGCTGTATGTTGGTAGAATGGTACGTTTGGCGTTGAAACATTAAAGATGAAATATGTCCTGTAGCACATAAGAAAGCAGTATTCCCCTCAGTCATTTTTCTTGCTTGCTTTTACTTAGGATACGTTGTCAAATGACAGCGTTATTTTTTTTTGTGCCAAAAGAGTTTTAGGAGTAATCTATGCAAATGATTCCGATGATCAGCAATACAGTTTCCAGTGCTCATGAGCTCCGTACTTTTGGCCTTTCAAATATTTTGATTCGATCGTAACTGTTGAGTCTGATGAAGACGAACTGCACGTTTGTCCTATCAAATTTCAGTCTTCGTATCTTTGTGATTTTGTACACCACGGGGCTGATTCCAGTACTGGTGGAATAACAGTTGTTGGTGCTTTTGTGTTGACATATAACATCACCGATACCATCATTATCTCTATCTGTACTGTATATAGAATGTTAAATTATTCAAACTTTTGGCATATATGACCTCTCCCATACTGGGAACTCTTGGTTTTCAATACTAGTACTTGAAGTTTAATAAATAAAAAGTAATACATTGATATAATGTACTAAGCGTCAAAGAAAACAAAATAACAGAAATACAAAACTCCCAGGTAATTCAATCAGGAAAAGTCCTTTAAAACTAACAAAAACAAATGTTACACTTTATCAACTTATCATCATCAACAATATCTTTAAAACATTTGCTTTCAAATAAAATTAACACAAAAAAAAGCGATATCTTACACCTGGGAGTTTTTGTTGCTCAACACCAAGCGTGACATGTAAAGGTGTATGCCCAGTATTACTCTGTGTATTGACATCGGCGTCTGAAAACAAAAAGTCTGATAAGTTTATACGAAAACAGGTTCAAAAGACTATAACATGTATGAGGTATGAGAGGCGGTAGATTGAAAGAAGTTAGTCTAATCTGATATCGCGTTGTGAGCGTTTTTTATTTACTACAGTATCGATGGAGAAACTTCCAAATGAAGTCTGAGATAATTGTGTTTGTATGCTTCGTACCGATTTGAGGGATTGTTCATTTGTGACCTGGAAAGGGGGGGGGAAATAAAGGGGCCTTGAAAAATTTTAAAAATGGTAAAAGGAGGGGGGGGTTTCCAGTTTTTTAATACTTCAAACGGGGGATCGAAATTTGTTCACAAGATTTGAGCAATTCTGTATTTCAAACGTGCACAAATAATAGCAAATTTGATGAATACATTAAATCAGTATCTAATTGACTCTTTAGTCAGCAGTGGTGTCTAACACTTGATTCAGATGTCATTTTTATCTATGTTGTGTCATCATTTCTGGCTTCAAACTTCATTTCAATATTTGTTTAATATAAGTCAATACCTTCTTCTGTTTGTTTTTTAAACATGAAGAACGAAAATATTAGGGATTGATGGTGTGCTGTCTTAGTTTTTGCAGGTTTCCTGGGAGCTTTTCTAACTATACTCTTTTTTATATAATAAAAACACTTTTAATATTGATAGCTGTTTCTAATATGATTAATTGTTAAACTCATGATTGAGCAAATATATAATTATATCAATGGTATAAGATAATATTTGGGAGTCAAGCGTGGCATTTTCAACATGTCTTTACATGAGTAATTGTCCTTAATGACATGGAGATGCGTAATCAGTAACCTACACCCTACGATTCCCCCTACAATAACACAAATGTAATATTTTGGCACGAAAGGAATGATACTTTTTTTGGCATCGCTCCGCTCGGCACATTTCTTAATATCCCAAATCCTAAGTTTCAACATGATCTTCCAGGAGATTTTTTTTTTATCAAAGCTGAAATGGAATTAAGATGTTGTAAATGTCAATGAGACCATAACCGATATATTCAAATAAATTTCCCTGAATTCACAAACAACTTACCCACTTGAAGCTCTGTATCTACTACTGGTGCAATATTTTATTGAATAATAATAATAATAATAATTTAATAGAAATTGTATGTATTTATTTTTTTTTTGTCTTTAAATATGTTTTGATGGAAAGTTATCATAATTGCAATGATACTATCAAACCCTAGGGTTGACGTGGGCGTGGGTATATATGGATGGTCATCATTTGTCCTTTTTCGATCGGGAGTAACACGATTTTAAGGTGGTGTGTCCGTTTGGCTATGCGCGATGTGTAAATTCACAGCCATGCCTAATCAGAATGGAGACATTAAATCCGATTCTTCGTATAGAGAGTGTCATGTTCCTTGCACTTTAAGAACCCTTCATCCACTCTTTGAGGGTTCCGTGAATGGCCTTTTGGGAGGCTAAATATATGTTCCTATCCAGTATAAACTCATTTTCTAGTGACATTCCAAATTTCCAGTCCTTCATCCCATTCCAAATTTCCAGTCCTTCATCCCGGTCGACTCTCTTTTACAGAACCTTCCTCGATAGTATTGATTTTTAATTTTATCGTGTCCTGAACATGCATGCAATATTTGGTACTGGAGTTAATCAAACAAGCAATCAGGCAACGCATTCATACCATATCTTTCATTTCTTATCAAATGTTCATATTGTAAGCACCGTTTAGTCAGAGAGATTAGAAAAATAATGAGAGGATATGAAGGAACAATAAAGCATAACACTTATCCAATAGTAACTCACAGCAAAAATAAAAACGACAAATGAACAAATAACATAAAAACCAACCACACGAACACAATCGAAATCCGGGGATGAAATTATGCTATCCGAAAACGCTTTGCATCAAATCATTGACAATTGCATATCAATAAAAAAAAATCAAGGATAGAATTAAGTTGACAGAGGTTCGGCGATGTTAAAATCTCGTTAATCGATTCAGAAGAGACAAATCAATGTTGCACAAAAATTGAAGGAATCACTAAATCTCTAAAAAGAGCGAGACCGGATACATCATCATGGGTAGCGTCTCCCTCCTTGGATTAATCACACGCCACGCAAATTAATACATAATCAACATTTTAAAATCGGTAGTATGACACAATAGGCTGAATTACAGATCATACGACTATACAGGTATCTAAAAAGATCATTTCTTTTCAATTTTTGAATCTCCTGCAAGAATTAAGAATTATATAATTCGTGTTATACTATAAAGCGAAACAAGACATTAAAACAGCTTTCAACAGGAGAATACCCATTTCTAACATAAAAGACTCGTGGGAAAAATGATTTCCATAATAAAACATTTAAGTACCGAATAAAAAATTCACATCAGCAGAGAAAGAGCCTTAAGACACGTGTCAGTTAAGGAATAGAGTAAAGATGTCAACTATAAAAGTCCTTTTAAGGTATATTTGATAATTTATTTGTCAGTGCAGACTTTAAGGATATATTATTCATTTAAATGATTGGTGCTGAAAGGAAAATGCGCACTTACCGTTTTCAATTAGCAGCTCAACCATTTCAAAATATGCTTCATGACATGCAACGTGAAGAGGAGTTAACCCTCCTTCATTCTTAAGATTTATGTCCGTGTCAGCCTAAAGCATTTTCAAAAAAGAACTACTTAAATAAAAACAAATAAAACAATATCTTCATTTCCTATATTTTAATTAGTCGTACTAGTTTTAGATATATATGTATATCATTTTTCTTTATGGATAGTTTCTGGTGTTTAACAAGAAAATAACATCTTGAAAAATTTTAAAATGCTTGATTCAAATGATACATTTTTACTTCAGAAACAATAATGACAGTTAATCTCCTTGGCTGACCTTTAGTACGAGCTTTTTTTCGAAAAACATAACTTTACCTTTGTTAAAAGAGTTTCTGCGACATCTTGATGATCATTGATAGCAGCAACATGCAGGGCCGAAAATCCATTTTTTTTCGTAGTTTTAGAGAGCTCTGGGGATTTTTCTAACAGTTTTTCTGTCGCACTTCAAGATAAAATTTTGCATAAAAGGTAATTCAATTATTTTCTTATTGCAGTTACTTTTTAGTAAATAAGGGTAAATAAGCCCTACTTCCTTAACAAAGAGATTGACTGCTGATACGTTTACATTTAGGTACACTTTACACATACTTAATTGATTACCAAATCTAAAAAAGAAAAATTGTTCAATCAGGAGGAATTCAAACTGAAATCAACAATACACAAGTTTGATTGACACAATCATAAATATTTGTAGAATAGCTGAGTTCGTCTATCTTTACTCTGTGTGGGGGATTTGCAATCTAAGTTTATAGCACATATACACTATTTTATGAAACTTGACATTTGCAAACAATATTTATTATATTTAAAATTCCAGTACTGAAGGACTGTGATCATTAGATTCCATTGGTCTGGTAGTCAACCAGCAGCGGCACAGTTTTTTTTCAGGGCGTATGTATTTGAGAATCTTTTTTACGACTTAAACCCTCTGTTGTCAAAAGTGTGGGATTATTAAGACGAACATTTGTGTATGGATAAATACGTTATTGAGATTCCAACTCAAATTCAATTAAACCAAGCGATTAGTTTCAGTTTCCTAATCTTTATTTAGAGTATTGTAAGAAGTTTATTTTAAACACCATAATACCAATAAAAGATAAAACTTAACATTTTAGTACATACTTATCATTTCCCTTGAATGCAGCAAAAATTAGTAGATTAAAATCTTTGTTGTTACGAAGTGTCAGATTGATTGATGGAATAGCAAGTAATAATTCTACTGCTTTGTCGTTTCCTGCTGCAATTGCATCATGCATTGGTGTGTCACCTTCTACATCCTAAATGTCAAATAGCATGAATAACAAAATTATGGAACGTCTTCACTTCAAAAAATACATGTAATTACTATATGTATGCTGAAAAATATCTCATTTAATGTATTGTTAATTTATCATTTTCACTGTAGAAATGCCAAAATCGAAGTTTTACTAGTGTTTAGCACTCTTTGATTTTTTTTTGTCGAAATGCTCTTCAGCTTCGTACATGAGAGAAGTAATGAGTTTACAAGGATTTTATTTTGCTATAAAATTTAGGTCGCGTAAACCCGTTTCTCATACAACAACTTACAAGTACATTACAACTTCTAAATAAGTTTTATATACTGATATCCATTAAAGAATTAAAGAACCGTTAAAACACAAACCTCATTAAAGAGGACAGGTTTATAATTTGATATGCAAGACACGCGTTTCGTCAACACACGACTCATCAGTGGAAGAAAAGGAGAGACGAAAGATACCAAAGGGACATTCAAACTCATAAGACGAAAATAAACTGACAGCGACATGGCTGAAAAAAAAGACAAACAGACAAACAATAGTACACAAATAAAGGCAACAGTAGTATACCGCTGTTCGAAATTCATAAATCGATTGAGAAAAAACAAATCCGGGTTACATACTAAAACTGAGGGAAACATATCAAATATAAGAGAACAAAGACACAACAGAAACACTAAAATGCAACACACACAGAAACGAACTATAAGATACCAATAGCCATTTTCCTGACTTGGTACAGGACATTTTAAGAAAAAATGGTGGGTTGAACCTGGTTTTGTAGCTAGCCAAACCTCCCGCTTTAATTGCAATGTAGAATATAACACTAAAATGATAACATTACATGACAGGACTACAATACAAATAAATTGAAGAACACAACATAGAATAAAATAAGAATGAGCAACACGATCCCCACTAAAACTGGGGGTGATTTCAGGTCTCCGAAAGGGTAAGCAGATCCTGCTCCAATATGTGGCACCCGTGACCTTTAAAGAAAAATAGTTGAAAGGCCAAACTAAATACGAAGAGCAGAAAAAAACCCAAAAATCGACATAGCGCCAAATACGAGTAAGACAATCTATGACTGGGTAGGAAATCTAAGTAACTTAACGACAATAAACATATCCATTATATTTTAAGTGAAAAAAAAAACTATTGACTACTGAGCTGATGATATCCTCAGTGTCGAAACGTTTTCCCGCAAAACAGAAAGAAATACGAAATGATGCAATACCTCTTTTTACGAAAATACCAGAGTGGCAAACACAATCCTAATTGGTAAAGAAAATAAACACACCTCTGCTAAACCAAACGATAAATAATCAATACCGCATAAATTAAGCTACCGGTACACCAATTAACTGGTTATGGCATTGTATGCCCATAAATCAACATATGTCGGGTGAGTTATAACTAGGTTTTTGATTTGAAGAAATAGAGTATTCAATACAAACCAATGAAAGTATAGACTAACCTGCAGATTAGGGTTAATACCCTTTTGTAAGGTAGCTCTTAGAAGCTCGTTCATTCCAAAGTAACTTGCATGGTGAGCGACAGTGCGCTTATGTCTCCCTATTACTTTGACAGATGCTCCTCTCTGCAGTAAATATAACGCAATTGCTTCTTTTTTCCTGAAATGATTATTGTCAGCTTTATCAAAATCATGACAGTTCTGTTCAGTATATGTAGATTTGGTTTGAAAATTGCTTGAATTGGCTGTTGCTTTTAAATGTTTAATTGAAGTGAACTGATCCCACTTATATTTGAATATATAAAACTAATACATACGCTTAATTATATATGGAAAAGGTTGATTGTTTTTGCTGTTGGATCCTAAAACTTACTCCTTACAAATATATTAGATGAGATGAAGTAAATGTCTTTGTTGTCGGAATTTAAAAAGACTTTTCATTGTAAATTTTATCATTAGATTTACTGTATGCTATTCTCTGCCAAGATACCTCATAAATATATCACGTTTTCATATTTGTTAGCACAATTGTAGTCCCCTTTCTCCTGGTAAAGTATAGCACACTGATGCATGGATTAGTGTGAGAATTCAAATTGTGGGTAAATTGACATCTGATAATTGTTTATCAGTATTAATGCATACCCTGCTGCAGCTATGATGATCGTCGTATAAGCAATTATACATACCCGGCTGCAGCTATGAGGAGCGTTGTATTACTGTCCTCAGAAAGAGTTTCCAAGTTTGCTCCGTTGTCTAATAATAGCTTAACTATAGACAAATGTCCTCCATGACTTGCAAACATCAAAGGTGTCAGTTCTTTGAACTTGCAGTTAACCTTTAAATGTTTTAACGTATTCAAATGATCTAATTTTAATTCAATTATGATGCTGTATTTTTTTATTTGTAGTAAATCTGCTGTCGACTAGGCTATAACTGTTTATAGTTTCTGTGATTAGAATATATAAATATCCATAACCTGTTTATCATTATGCATTGTACCAAGGAAAAGTGTAAATGTGTAAAAAAAAAAAATACAAATATAATTTCGGTGGGCGTAAAACAGAAAACAGCCGTTAAAGTGTAGCAAAAACTGTATTTCAACTTTGCTCAAAAACTGCTACTACTAAATTTCTTAGTTAGGCATATTGCGAAAACAGCTTTTTTTGTGTGGCGCTCAGCTGTCTCTATAAAGAATCATTTTCCTCAATTTTAAAAAAGACCGACAGGAATTTACGTCTTATCATTATTCTTGTGAATCCGACAAATTAAATTCACCTAACTCTGTAAACAAATGGAATACTTTCCAAAGACAATATAGAGCAGGTTTTTTTTTTTTTTGGCTGGACGGTAAATTTTCACGGATATGTCGATGTAATACAGTTCTAAGCAAAGCAAAAAAATGTCGTCATTCACCTCAAAAGCTAACCAAACCTTCAATCAGACTTATTCAGAAGGGATATAGTCACGATACTGTTGTAAGGACATTAAAGATGACATATTTTGGAATTAATATTAATTCACTCATAGAGTCTTTGCATCGGAAATAAACACATGTATTCTAAACCCAGGATGATACGGGTTATGTTCTTCTCATATATTTTATGATGGTATGATACCAAATCCTTAACGGGAGGGATTTTGCTTGATCTTCATATGGTAAAGACATAATCTTTAATCAGTTAAATTGAGGTCTGGAGCTGGCATGTCAGTAACTGCTTGTCGTCCTTTGTTAATTTATGTATCATTGTCATTTTGCTTAGTTTCTTCTATTTCCTATTCTGACTTCGGACTCGGACTTCTTTTAAACTGAGTTTTACTCTGTGTATTTCTGTGTGTTTGTTTATTCTACATTGGCTTGAGGTAAAGGGGGAGGGTTGAGATCTCACAAAACATTTTGCGCCTGTCCCAAGTCTGGAGCGTCTGGCCTTTGTTAGTCTTGTTTTTTTCTATTTTAGTTCATTTATATGTTTCGGAGTTTAGTGTGACGTCCATTTTCTCTGAACAAGTATACATTATTGTTTATGAACCAGCTGAAGCCCGTCTCCGGGTGCGGGATTTTTTCTCTGTGTTGAAGACCACCTTTCGTTTATTATTTGGTGTTTCATGGACTATATTACGTCCTATGTTTTGTTCTTATTTTATTTTGTCGTCATGGTGTTGTCTATCTATTTGTTTAAGTTTATTTGCATCGAATGGAACTATTACCAAATCTTTCTTCAGTTTGATATATTGCTGAACAGAAGCGATATCGCCTTTTACTACAGCTTGCACCATCTGCTCTGGTCCAATAGTTTGCATCCTTTGTTGATGACCCAGGATTACCATGTGTGCAACAAGTCTGGCAAGGCTGTCGGATAAGTCATTTCTTGTACTTTCTGATATAAGCAAAGGTTTAGACAGTTATTAAAACCATAGAAATAATACTACAAAAATAAAAGGAAAGTTACACACCTCATTTTCTAATAAGACGAACTAACCATACTTGTTTAGAGCCAACCACATATATATTCTTACATTATAAAACTGTTAGAAATAAATTTAATTGCCTGTAAATTGTTAAGTCAACCACCTCATTCCACAGATCAACTACTTCAAACTTAATTTTTATGTCGAACTTGATGATTTCAACTTCCCAATCTACAAGTTCCCATTTCAAAGCAGTTACATTCCCTCTATCGAATAATATATCATTTGATACGTTAATCTCATGCATGTTTACTTCATACAAAGTTCATTAGTAAGGATGTGTTCTTAACACAAAAACCGATCAAAAAGAGTTATGAGAAAGAACGACAAAATCGACACATGTTTTACGGTCATCATAACGAATAAGGCAACTGAACCATATTTCTGTGTCTTAACACACCAGCAGTCTTAAATCTTAATATAATCTTTTTATAAGAGAAGTCCTATAATCTGCAATGTTTCGATTTTGTCCTATTTCTGATTGGGAATTCTTGACTGAGTGTGGATTGGCGGGGATGCATGCTTAGCAAGAGACGCTTACGCAGTTCCTTTGTGAGTTAATACGATTCCCTCAGTTTTTGTGTTTGTAACTTTGATTTACGTCTTATTCGATGCGTGAGATTTGAAAATCGGTAGACTGCTGTTGCTTTATTTATTTATGTTTTAATAATAACCTTCTTTTGCTTTTGGTTTCATTTCGGTCTGTACCAATTCCAGATTATGGACCTTCTGACCTGGTGCAGGAATAAGGCAAGCAGGACTATAGACCCAGACTTGCTGTCCAAACTGTACAACAACGTCACCATCGCCGTCTATTTTCTCAACTTTTCCTATTTTCCCACATGCCTATAACATTTGAATTTGTAATTATTGTCGTTTCAATTTTTCTCAATAAGACTTATTATATATAGTATATATATTAGAAGTCTGATTTATGGGGTTGTCTTCTCTTACGTCTGCAGAACAAGACAATGAAACAAAAATCTAAAACACAATAAAATACATTTGGAAAAAAAAGTATGATACAAATATCAAACTTCAAGGTGAATTCAAAAGTGAAGTCTATAAAAACTGACAAAATCAAATGCTAGACTTTCTCAACCAACGGATGGAACGAATGGAAAACAACCGTTATATTCCTGACTTGGTACAGTCATTTTCCGATTAGACCTGGTTTATAACTAGCTTAACCTCCCTGCTGTAAGACAGTTGTTTATAGTTCCGTTATAATGACACACTTGGATAAGCAATACAAACAGAGATCAAAGTTAAATGAGACAATAATTGGGATCCAACAGCCAAAGCTAAGTAAACTAACATCACAGATATACAACACAACTGACTAAAATTTCAAATAAACATACAAATGTATCTACAAAATACGCCAACAAAAACGTTTTTGTAGTTGACAGTACACACAGTTTTTTGTATACAGTACAAATGAATTACAAAATAATTACAAAGGTAATCAACACTGTAAAAACTTCTTGCGTCCGAATCGCACCTCTGAATGCATAATACCGATTCGTGTCAACAGACATACGACAAAAAGGAACATAAAAGCACAAAGACTAATAAAGTAATAATATGTTAATGTGTACTCTCTTGTAAAAGGATCATGTCATGTCATCTTTCTATCTGTTTAGTTTTAGGGTTTAGAAATTTCAGTATATTTACTCCTAAGGTTAACGTAAAACGTATGAATGAATGAATATTTTTCCGTTAGTAAATGGACGTCGATTTAGATAAAAGAATTTTTGGTCTTCAATGCTCTGTAACTTTATAATTGTTTGGCTTTTTAACAATTTTGATCTGAGCGTCACTGATGAGTCTTGTGCAGACGAAACGCGCGTCTGGCATATCAAATTATAGGCCTGGTACCTTTGATAACTATTTACACAACTGGGTCGATGCAACTGCTGGTGGACGTTTCGTCCCCGAGGATATCACCAGCCCAGTAGTCAGCACTTCGATGTTGACATGAATATCAATTATATGGTCATTTTTATTAATTTATTGTTTGCAAAAATTATGAATTATTCGAAATACTAAGGATTTTCTTATCCCAGGCATAGATTACCTTAGCCGTATTTGGCACAACTTTTTGGAATTTTTGGTCTTAAATGCTCTTCAACTTTATACTTGTTTGACTTTTTAACAATTTTGATCTGAGCGTCACTGATTAGTCTTATGCAGACGAAAAGTGCGTCTGGCGTATCATATTATAAGCCTGGTACCTTTGATAACTATTAGAACACAACACAACTTTAGACAAGTGTCTTTACAATGTGTTAAACCCAAAAATACACCATGTCAAGAAAAGATGTGACTCTGAAAGATATTCCAGCAACATCTTATCTCCTCAAGACAAAGCATATCAAAATATGTGTTAAACTCAAGAGCAACATACTAATTAAAAGGGTAGTCCTGGAGCTAAAGTTTTAAAAATCACTGACATATAAAAAAGAAGAAGCGGTATGATTGCCAATGAGATAACTCTCCACAAGAGACCAAATGACACAGACATTAACAACTATAGGTCACCGTAAGGCCTTCAACAATGAGCAAAGCCCATACCGCACAGTCAGCTATAAAAGGCCTCGAAATGACAATGTAAAACAATTCAAACGAGAAAACCCCAGGCCTAATTTATGTACAAAAAATGAACGAGAAACAAATATGTAACACATAAACAAACGACAACCAATGAATTACAGGCTCCTGACTTGGGACAGGCACATACATACAGAATGTGGCTGGGTTAAACATGTTAGCGGGATCTCAAGTAGTTTCTTTATTATTGTAGACCATTTACACAGATAAAACAGAGTTTTAAAGCAAAAGAAATTATTTGCATACTGTTAAAGTGATGCGAAACATACCAAAAGGATATTCAACCTTTGAAACTGAATCTAAAAACCAACCACTGATGAACATATTAACAGGATAAAAATGTTTCCAACTTATGGAAATATATATAATTAAACTCACTAAGGGTGAGAAATGTGTCATGATATACCTTTTTCATAGCATCTTCCCATCCACCATGACCTCGCTGCAACAATTCAACGACTTTTTCACCTGGTAGTATCTTAACTGTGTCACCCGGCTTGATATTATAAACCTTTAAATATATTTCTTTATTTCATTAAACTGGTGTTTTCATCTACGTATATGTACATATTGTGATGCATATTTTTTTATTATTATTTATTAGATTCCCTCTTCTTCAACGCTGTAATTTGCACATATTACCCCACAAATAGGTCAGTCAGTCTTCAATGTACATGTCTACATTAGGACAAATACTTTTTAATATTTTCTTGAACGATATTTTGTGTCAAGCTGCTCATTATATAATTATGCAAATGATAATACTTTGTTATTATTCATATTCCAATATAAACACTGTTGTAAATACGAAAGAAAAAAATCTTATTATTTAGTTAATGTTAAATAATGTGAAGATCAACCCTGACAAGTTTTAGGCAAAATCAATTGGCAAGAAGACTGAAAATTAGATATTTTGTTTAGCATGTTTAGTTTAGATGGTAATTTTAAACATTGAGAAAAACTTGATGTAGCCATTGATTACCAACTACACTTTGATGCTCATATCTTTAACATTTGCAAAACTGTATCCAGACAGTAAACGGTAATCAAAGATAGGTAACCACCTAACAAAATTAGGTAGACTTACCATTACTATTCACTTATAATATCAAATTTTAACGACTGTCTAACAGTTTACCACTTGCAAATAGCCTTTAACTAATTCAGAAGTATCAAGTTAAAACATTAGAAGCAATAGAGGAATATACAATCGTTAATTAACAATGATCACTTTATTCACATGAAAGTAGAGCAATTATAAACTGTAGTTTCTCCTTCAGAAACGACTACAAAGCTGATATTCCCAGGGTAGAGACAACTATCTTTGTGCTACACTCATATGTACCTACGGGGACCAAACTTGAAAATGGCATGACGATAAGATGAGGAAAGAAATATCTTTGGTCCGCTTAAAAAGTTTGGTTATGAATTTGGGATAGCTCGTGTCACTGTTCCTCCTCGAAATCTTAGTGAGTTGTCCAACTTATTTTTATTTTTCTATACTTTAAAATTTATATTTTTTGCATACCTTTTGAAATATAGGTATGCTTCAAATTCTTTTCTTTTTTTTTTTGTTATTGCAAGAATATATGTTTGTCTGCATTTAACTTTTGCTATTATATGCTTTGATTTGCTGATTATTTGCTACTAGTATACATTTCTGTGGTTTGGTAGTAATATTTATGATATATATGCAGTGTTATCTGCATATCAAATATAATGTAGTAAAACAAATATGTTAGTGCCATTTAGCAATGAGGTTTGAGCGTCTGATTAGTGTTGTTGACAAGTTTAGCTCTAAGCGGTGATGACTTTAACTCTGAGATGAAGATCATAAAAAAGCAATTGCACCATGGTTGCATGTAAAGACTTTTTGTCATGAATATACACAACATTTCTTATTATCCATTAAATATTAGAATGTAATTGATACTTTGAAAAATGAATTGTATAAATCAAAATATTTCTCTACTAATTTATCCACTTAATGTTTACTCACTTTCCTAACAGCGCCTTGATAAAACTGCCATGAAATTCCATCGTACTGGACTTCAATGATGTCGTTAGATTCGATTTGTTTTACTATCCCAATCCTTCCAATACACTGAAAAATAAATCTTTGTACAACCATATTGCTTTTGAGGGGACTTGTTTGTACTTCATATGTTGAATTCGGTATTAATATTCATTTTTTATAAATTTAATGTTTGCAAAAGTATAAATTATTCGAAATACTAAGGATGTTCTTATCCCAGGCATAGATTACCTTAGCCGTATTTGGCACAACTTTTTGGAATTGTGGGTCCTCAATGCTCTTAAACTTTAAACTTGTTTGGCTTTCTAACTATTTTGACCTGAGCGTTACTGACGAGTCTTATGTAGACGAAACGCGCGTCTGGCGTATCAAATTATAAGCCTGGTACCTTTGATAACTATTTGCCTTTCTCAACGTTCTCAACAAACAAGACAAGACCTATGCATTTTGTATATATATAAATACTTGACAAAAGACTGTATAATGACCTCTAGATTTTTATAAGATGATGTGTTGTTCGGTGGCTGTCACATTGATATGTATTTTAGTAGTAACCAATCGTCTATTGAAAAACATGAGTTATAAATGTTAAAAGGCTGATAGGTATATCAATGAAGTAAAATACTTTTCAGATGGATGTCAGGAGACTTGAAAAATGGGGTAATGTGATTCTCACGAAACAAAATAAGCCCGTAGACCTGTCAAATATTACTTTGAATTTATTTCTCTATTCCTTTTTTGTTTGCTATTGAATTTGTCAAACTTATTAATGACTTTTGTTTAATTTATTTTGATTGACGTGTTCTTGATATTGCCTAAAGTGATAGGTGTAATGTTCCTCAAATTACCTCAAATAACCAATCAACCGAAGATTATATGATATTTAAAGGGTACATTCAACAAACATTAGTAGAAAACCTCCAAGATTTTTCGTCCTAATTTAAACTAACTTCTGTCATGCGCATACTCCATCCTCCTTTTCCGCGTTGAACTTCTTTCAGTTCCTCTGAAGGGATAAATACGCATACACGATCGCCCACGTGCAAGACAGAATCAAGACCTGGGTTGTCAGCCTCGTCTAAATTTTTCTCCAAAAAGCCCATTTCTTCTTGTTTTGACTTTGGTTTGTCGCCTATAAAACTGTATTCTCTTGTTTACCTTTGTGATGAATCTGCAAATACTTCATTATATAACCAATCTGTTGACTGGCAGTCTTATAATTTTGTTAACTGATTTTAAAGATTTCTCGACAAGAGTTTATCACGTTATAAGAGTGTCATGACAGTTTGATCCATCATGCATTTTGTATTACCCAGTTCATAGAAATAATACTTTATACGTTTTGTGCGCCTTTCTGGATTTTCCTTCATCAAAAATGCTTAAAAGAAAATTGTGAAAAGCCAGGAAAGTATAAATGCACAGAAACATTGTTAACAATATGACTTAATGGAACAATAAAAGAGCCACATTTAGCCAAGTTAAATATTGAATGAGGGAGTTGGGAGAGGTTGTTATAAATCGACATGTACTGAAACACTGCCTTATCTGATGATACCAAAGGGACTAATAGTTCTTTCGGTAAAACAATCCAATATATGCTGAACTAAACACTTTATTAAAATAAAACTCAGAGAATAACGATTAGTTCCATTTGATCAGATAACACATCAATATTCTCTTACAAGATGGAATAGATACAATGGTCAATCAAAAACCAAAAATTCACGAAAAACAACAAAGCAAAACAACTATAACTACTCAAACAGAAGACATGACATGTTGATCTAATATTAATTTGTAATTTTTAGAATGTAAATAAAGGCAACAGTAGTATACCGCTGTTCAATAGTGATAAATCGATTTAACTGAAACAAATCCGGGTCACAAACCAAAACCGAGCGAAAAACATTACCTATAAGAGGAAAACAACGGAACAACATAAACACTGAACTTCTACAAAAACAAACGCCAACATACATAGAAACGAACTATTTGATAACAACTGCCATATTTCTGACTTGGTACAGGACTTTTTAAGAAAAAAATGGTGGGTTGAACCTGGTTAAATGGCTAACCAAACCTCCCGCTTAAGTTATTTGTAAATACAAATATATACAAACAAAGTGTGCCGTTATTTACCAGGAATATAGAGATGGTCTCTGTAGTAGTCTGTTCCCACGCCTGGTTCAACATATTTTAGGTCCACTTTACCACTTGCTCCGACCCGATATTCACAAGTTTTTCCATTTGTCCATTTCACATGGACAGCATTACGTGCACCAGTATCTGTTTTGTAGTTTTTTAGTTCAGTGACTGTTCCTTTTGAACCAGGACCACCTTTGTACATAAAACAAGTTTAATAGGTATGTATTTCGTTTTAAATATTCCAAATATTCAATGATTTTTTTGCTTGATAAGACAAAAAATGATAAAATGTTTGAGAAAAGAAAAGGTGTCCGTAGGAAAATTCAACCACATCTAGAAATTACAGCCTTTAGATTAAGTGCAATAACTTAATTGCCAATGTACTTTTACCTCCAGTGCCCTCTTTGAAACATTAGCATAAGTTTCTCATAAAATGATTAATTCTCATACAGTATTGATCAATGGCTACAACACTTTGACAAAATGATGATCAACAATTAAAAAAGAGGCGAAAGATACCAAAGGTACATTCACATTCATAATTCGAAAATAAACTGACAACGCCATGGCTAAAAAAGAGAAAGACAAACGGACAAACAATAGTACACAAAACACAACAGAAAACTAAAGACTGAGCAACACGAACTCCACAAAAAACTGGAGTGATCCAAGATGCTCGAAAAGGGTAGGCAGATCCTGTTGCTCATGTCAGTACATAATATAAAGATAAATTTAATTTGTTAGGTCACATCCGAAGAAAAGAAATAATATACTTCTTACTTTTCTACTTGGAAATGCAAATGCTACTAACCGTCGTCTTTGTCATAGTTCCAGTCCGTGCCTCGTGTAACAACTGCGCCTGGAAATATTCCGAGAGCGCGCATTCTTTGCGAAATGGCCCTCTTTTGTACTTTTTCTCTGTATAAAAAGGAATTTATATACAATTATGACAAATTAGTAGGTAAGCAAACAAAAATTAATACCATCAACATTAAAGGCGAAATGCTTAAGGAGCGAGACTGGGTGCATAGATAGGATAGCGTTTCTTGCTATAAAAACATACTCAGACAAAATGTCAAAAACGGTAAAAGAACACAATGTTTAAAATAGCAGATCAGACAACTTAAATGATACCTAAAGATTCAAGACCGCGAAAACAGGTAGTTAGCGCATTGAGACACTAACACATTGTATCGGTCAACCTATTCGTTAAGGTGACGGTAAAACTTATGTAATTTCGATTTCAGTCGTTCTTCCTCATAACTTTGTTGGATCAGTAAATGTGTAAGAAGAAAAACCTGTAAAATGAAGTCCGTACAGTGTGAACCTACCGAATTAGACTTCCGGAGCACCTGAGATCACCCCCAGTTTTTGGTGGGGTTCGTGTTGCTTAGTCTTTAGTTTTCTATGTTGTGTCATCTGTACTATTATTTGTCTTTTTATTTTTGGCCATGGCGTTGTCAGTTTATTTTCGATCTATGAGTTTGACTGTCCCTCTGGTATCATTCGTCCCTCCTTTCCAGACCTTTGCTACTGGTGATAAATAATAGACAATTGGAAAGATAGAATCAACACGTTTGTCATATATTACAGTTTGAAGTGGTCCGCCTGTTTCTATATCAAGAAAAAGATCAAGATATGATTCAACTGATTTTTATAGTGTGTTGTCATGTTGAACTGTTACACCACTGTCCTAAGTTACGGAGAAGGTTTTGCGCCACCAATCATGCTTAACCCAGCCACATTCTGTATGTGCCTGTTCCAAGTCAAGACCATGTAATTCAGTGGTTGTCCTTTAGTGCTATATATATCACTTGTTTGATATGACAAACATATGAGTTTGTATATTTTGAATATGGCAGGTGAGCTCGACCCTATTTTTTATCAACATGGATTTTCATTTTTTCTGTCTAAAGTTGGAAGATCTCTCCATGCACTCCGGCTTTGGAATAGCTTATAGTGCTGTAAGTGGCGTTAAACACCAATCACTCAATTATTAAATACGTTTCGTGCATCTTTTCAGGATATAGCTGTATTATAAAAGTTGAAAGCCAAGGATGTATAGATAAGATCAAAACACATGAAAAGCTATAAAATACACCTAGTAATGATTAACAGCTACAATTACAAATACTGCTTACGGTCTGCTTGTTGTTTGTCTGTTATATCGTTCAAATTCATGACTTAGATCGTGCTTATCGGAGAAATAACAAATGGTGCAAAGATTGATGCCTTCACATTTTACACATTTCCATCGAGTTCCGAGTATAGGTTGTCTTTTACATACATTGCATGCTATTCCGTAATGCTTTATTCCTATAACAAAAATCATAAGTTCTTCATCTATACTAACAAATTCACAGATACAGTAAATATACATATAGTTTCCTACAAAATAAAAAACAATGTATCCTTAAAATGTTGGATAAATATCTTTGTATAATGTACATTGATATTCTGTATTTTTTTGTCGTATTTTGTGAAATTTTGACTTCAGTATGGAATTGGAATGGGAGGGGTTATACGTGCATAGCAGCAGACCCATACCCCGTGTAATTCATGCTATTTCCTTAGTTTTTGTTTGTTAGCTTGCTTTGTCTTCCTAGCAAATAATGAGTTTTTAGGATTTGAACATCAGTCTAGTTGGCCGAATGGTCTTGAGCGCTGGGCACAGTGCATGCGGTATTATCTCGATATCCCAATAGCTTGAGTTCGAATCCCAGCGAGGGAAAAACAAAAATTTGCTTCAGCAAATTTGCAGATTTAACAATGCAGTGCTGATATTTAGAGTAATTATGAATATAATATGTGTTTTCAGCCGTTTATCACCTTCACTGGTGATCCAATGGATGGATCTGTCGTAGAGTTGTCATTGTTAAGACGTACTGCACACGTATAAAAATTGCGGTTTTTATCCAACGCAATCATAGGTTTGAACGTTGTTTTCAATTTAGACTTATTTATATTTTTTTTTCGTTTGGGCTTGTATTATATTTGCCTTCGGGTTTATATGATCCGTTCATCCTATTTCGACTCTTCAAAATTCAAGAGTCTATCCTAAAATTGAGGTAAATTATATGGCCTTCCAAAAACCGTTTCGATTCCTATCATCACTGAAGAGACATTAATTGTCGAAATCCGGATATGGTGTACAAATTTTTGTACCTCATGTTTGCGGTTTACCATCTTTTCCGCAAGTTTATTGTTTTCTGTTTGGTATTATATTAATAATAAAGATCCATTTTGTTACAGCTTGTGATATGTTTATTTGGCAATCGCCAATGGCAGTCAGCAGGGTTTAAGAACATCCGTTGTTCGACCTGTTAGTCAAATGCGTTTTGTTTAAATATACTTTTTCACTTTTTGGTCTTTTTAAAAATGTGGTTTGTGCTGTATTTATACCCCTCTACCAAGAAATTTGTTTTGCATACACACGTATAAAAATTGCGGTTTTTATTCAACGCAATCATAGCCTTGAACGTTGTTTTCAATTTAGACTTATATACATATTAGACCCCTCTACCAAGAAATTCGTTTTGCATGCACACGTATAAAAATTGGTGTTTTTATCCGACGCAATCATAAGTTTGAACGTTGTTTTCAATTTAGACATATATATTTTAGACCCCTCTACCAAGAAATTTGTTTTGCATAGACACGTATAAAGATTGTGGTTTTTATCCAACGCAACCATATGTTTGAACGTTGTTTTCAATTTAAACTTGTATATATACATATACATATACAAGTGCACATTCACAGTTCTACAATCTATCGGTACTTGTATTTAGGCATTGCACAGGGTCATGCTTTTCTCTGACTGTTGTTGACGTCTTTACACTGAGTCCATTTGGTGCTGAATGTGTACTGATTTCGTCCTAGTTACATGATTTATTGTGGGTTGATGTTGGCTTTGAGCTAGGTGTCGGTGACTGCGAGTGTTCTCGGATCTGTGCTTGTTGTTTTTTGTTTTTGTTGTAAGGATGTATAAATGCCCTGCCACGTCCTGTCTGT